CCATAATGGTGTTTTTAGCTGTCATTTAAGGGATTTGCCATTGGAAGGGTGAAAGACGTTGACCAGTGATTACTGAGGTCCACCTGTCACTCGCAGCAGAGGAGCTCGAACCCGGGGATATCGATCCCAGTTAGGGTTGCAGAGGGCTGGAAAATTTCTGGAAATTTTCCTGAAACTTTCCGTTCCATGGGAAGTTAAGCTGGGGAATTTTGGAAATATTCCACATTAGAAACTTTCCATGGGAATTAACGGGAAAGTATGGGAATTAACAAGAATATTCCTAGAATTTTGCAACAATAATCCCAGTGACAGTGAATGGCCTCCTTAATCACTGCTACAGTATACCCTACCACCAGACATTAGAGATCTCCCAGCTAACCATGACCCAGGGCTACCCAAACTTTTATACAGTGAGACCTACTTTTACAAAGGAAATATTCTGGCAAGCTACTGCTGACTTGGGGCTGGGGGCGGGTCTTCCTTGATATTTCTTGCAGTCGTGATCAACCGATTGGCCACCATTAAATAAATCGTTATCCATCAATTTCACAATCAACCTGGAAACATGCTATAATCGATTGCTGCCCCTAATGTAACAAAGAAGACCTCTAATATCAAATCAACATGTCCAGGTGCATCATTATATTATAACTGTAGAAGTGATTATCCAATGAAGCTGGGACAGCTTGATGCTTAACTATGAATAACGAGCTTGATATTTAATGAGGTTATTAATTAAGGTAACCATAGTTGCAGCTGTGGTTCCATGAGCCCCATCCATCCCCCCCCCCCCCCCCCCCCCCCCCCTCTTCAGCAGCCTGGTGCTGGTGACATGCTTACGCAGTGGGGGGTGGGGGAGTTGTGGGGGTGGCTCATCTCACCTCTCTGGCAGGTCTTGAAGAAGATGGCATTGTGTGGGGTCCTCAGCACCACGCTGCCCCCACTGTCCATCACCTGCACCGTCACCTCGAAGGCCGCTACGCCGTCCTGGTTGCCCAGACAGGGGAAGCCCACCTGCACCACTAAGAGGATGCACACACCACAAGCAGCTCACTTTCCTGACCGGAGAGGCCCCGGGCCCCAGGACCCCCATCTCAGGGGCCTCCATACGCTGCCTTCCTCTAAACTACGCAGCGGAAATGCTGTTCCTCATCTCCAGAATTTACCTCACGCAAATGCTAGCTACTGTGGATCTCCCTCCTAATCACTGCGGTCATCTTTGTTAAAAGGACAGCGACTCAGTAGGAACATGGATATGCTGACAGTTTCAGGGGCACCAGCACTTTTTCAGGGGCCACAGTAGGGGCCTGGATGCCCTGGCAGATTCAGGCGCCCCAGCACTTTACAGGGGCCACAGTAGGGGCATGGATACCCTGGAAGATTCAGGGGGCCCAGCACTTTACAGGGGCCCTTAAATGTGTAAAATTACATTTCGGCAGGGGGCCCAAAGTTTCCAGCCATGGCCCTGATCCCGTCAGCCGGGGCTCACCTGATGGCTTGTGTGGGACAGATCCCAGCAGGGGGACATTGACTGTCGGGTCATCCATGATGTCTCTGTCCAAGGAGCGGAGGGTTTGGAACTCGTAGAAGTATTCTGCCTGTGGTACACAATGGAGACACCTCTCAAAATGACCATTAAACAGAAGAAATATGAATCAGAATATCCACGATTATCCATGTTTCTGACCACTGTCCATTCCAGTGTTACACACAAATACTGCATTTTGTTATCATTTGAAGTTATTATTAGTAACACTGTATGTATTATTAGTAACACATTAGGTAACCAGCCTGGATCAAACATTCAAATGACAGAGAGCCAGGTAGCCATGACTAGTCTGGCGGCCATGACTCATACCAAGACTTGGGGGGAGGGGGGGGTCATACATGATGAAGCATGATGAAAACAGAGGGTCTACACCCAACCCCTCCCAGCTGTGTCCAGTATTAGAAGGTACTTTTGAACAAGATGAACGCATTATGAAGGATTTAAACTAAGAATGTTTTCGGGTGTCTCAGATTAAAGCATTTCAAATTTTTTCCATTCAACTATTTCGCATTTCGTTGCACATAGAAACCTACATATTTCTATGTGCAACAGGAATTGAAATATAAAATACTAAACACAGAAAGAGAGATTTTTTTTAGAAAATTAAAAAATGTGGGAAATTTTTAATTGCAGTTAAATGCTACTAAGATTAATAAACAGCCATCAAATCCCAACAAAACGACAACTTCTCTCAGAGCGAATTAAGGAAGGCACTGCCGCCGTGTTTGTAGTTCAGAACAACCCATCTCCTCAGAAACAAAATCTCGCATCTGCCAGTTGCCCTCACCTTAAAATTTTAACAACCACGCGTCTGTACGTCTAGAAATCGCGTCGGTTCATTGTTCCCCGATCCCAGTCCCCAAAAACCTGTCCCGTGATGTGAAAGGGAACCCGCTCGGCTCATTTCCAGCATGCCTCACTTTAATCAGCCTTTACTTTATACTTCAAAACCGCAAATCTAAGGGATAAAAAACGGGGCTCACATGAAAGCGAGGGACATACGCCAGCGACTGGAGTCCCCCAGAAAATATGATGATCTGATGCCGTGTGAAAGAGCGATAAAGAAAACAGGGCAGCCTACACGGTGCTTGGAAAGTAACGCTGATCCCGCAGCCCAGTGGTAATTAATACGGATAAACTCCGGCGGGGTGACTTTGGCCACGCTCTGCACCTCGGGTCTTCTCTTCTTAAGCCCTGGCGGTTAGCTTTGAAGTGGGGGTAAGAGGACCCCGAAAAGAGGGGGCCTATTTTAATTCACCGTCACTGCATGCTTTTTACAGATTATGTTCTCAAAGTGCTGTGCAATAACACGCCGTGTGCTAGATCCTTCCATAAAACACTACGAAATTGCCCGAGTGAAACGCTCTAGCTTTAGCTATGCATCCAGCGCAGCTGTTTAAGACGGTCCCGCAGCAGAGTATGTTTGCTGTCCCATTGAGACTTTGCCGTTAAGATTGCAACCTGCCAAGACGCGCTGAATTACGAAAGAAAATTTGAAAATACCATATTGTTTTTCTTTAAGAAAACCTATCAACAACTGATACATTTTTCCTGAATGTGTTTGATAGCTAAATCTGGACGCTTATACGTAAGAATTAAGATGTTTGTGTACTTAACGTGTGTTAATAATAAATTCATAAGCAAAATAACCATTCAATATGCTCCGTTTTAAGCTTAAGCTTTGCATGATTTCGAAAGATTGCCCATTGTTATTATATTTACACATTATTGAAGTTATTGAAAAATATAATTACTGCGTAAAGGCACGCGAAGACATGACCGTGCACGTAAAATTTGGACATATATGATTAGTTGGCACAAAGTTAATGAATTAGCAGGTTAACTAAGTAGGCTACAGGATAATTGGACTTATTGTGACTCTACGATGTAACTAACTCGAATTACTTTAGTAAAATACATGACCGTTTTTTTTTTCTCAAATAAAATGTAGGCTACTAGCAGTAACTAGCCAAATAAGAGTAGCCAAATGTTGTTAGTCGATGAAAAATGTGGGATTATCGGAGCAAGTGTGTGATTAAGTTTAGTTATGCCTTAATATATTAGGTCTTTGGTATAATGAAATTATACATTATATTGTGTATATTTTAAAAATTACGTGCATCTCTCCCTTAACCAATATAACGGCACGATACTACCGAGCCACATCCTCGCCGTAACGTCAGACATTCTGGGTACATGTGATGTGCATTTCTGCTCGTTAAAATCAATGGCATCAGTTCACAGAATAACAGTCTAATGAACCAATAAAAACTAATAAAAACAAAACACAAACCTGTCCGGTTACGTGCAAACTACCACTGTCTTTTATTAAAGTGCCCAAGGGTACACTATAAAGAAACGGCGGTCAATAGAATAACTACCGAAGTAATAGCAAAGAAAAACAAATACGAAAAGCAATCTGAGACAGAACCTTCTCCTTTAAAAAGCATGGATTCTGCCACACATCTGAGAATTTTACCATTGTTTTCTATGCGCAGATGGACCAGATGGTTGGCACAGACTTGACGCATTAAATGGAGAAGGATCTCGGCAGAATTACTCTTTGATCCTTGGCGGCGTGTCTACAACACCAAGCCGTAAAATACCGCAAGTGAAGAGATTTAAAATATTACAGATAGGACAGATTCTGAGCTCTCAGCTCAGACACCTTTTACCCCGTGCCGCAGCTGCACAAACGCTCGCTCGATGTTCAACAAGTCACACCAGCAGTTTTGGATGAAGATGAAAAGCTGGCCAGCTCAGTCGAAAGTTAGTGATCTTCAACTGCGCTTTACAGTGGACCATGTCAAATTTAGGATGGAAAATAAACGTTATAGGGTTAGAAACGTATTTGCAGCCTTTAAACTTGCTGCATGATATCACAAACGTCAAATTCTTTGTACTATACATATTCAGCAGCATCTGAAATACTAAATGTATTAAATGCTATATATTTGGTATATACATTCCCAACATTTTACTAGCCTCTTTCGCCATGTAACACTGTCACTGCAGACATCACACGTACAGACTTACACTTGCAACAACTACGATTTTACAAAAATAAAGTAGTATGTCCCAAATTCTGTTTATTGGCTCCATACAGCTGAATAACAATTATTCAAGTCCTTTTACTGACACTTTTGTTATTCTGAGATCCTTACATGCTCTCCTGCCATATTACACGTTTGTTAATCAAAGTATCCCATAAAAGTGAATTAAAATTCTTGCCTGTCCCGGAGCTTGCCAGGTAAAGTTCACGTGGTTGATATTGACAGGAATTGCAGGCATCCTCTGTTGCGCTCTTCTGAAGTCGTGAGTAAATGGGGCCATTTTACCCTCTGACACAATCAAAATATCTTCTTCAAAACCTGGTGAATGAAACAGCCTGCTTCCTTAAGCTGTTCAAACATGATTTAGGGATACAAGAAATAACTCAGCCAAAAGTCGAAATGTGTATGCCTGCAAAAATTGTATACACGACAAAACTAGTTTAAGATCACATAAGATCACCTTCATCAAATTTAAATACAATGTGCATTGTGCAGAATTAAAGTTTCTTTTAAGAAATCATGAAACAAATATCTAGTTGCATTTAGATAAATATTTACCAATAAGGATTCTGGCTTGGTTGGCGTCAATCCACATGTACAAACTTCCTTGATCCTGGATGGCATCTGTAATAAAACTCCCCCAAACAAGAAGAAAGCACGTTTTTAAGAGCCAGACAGCAGGTGTGTCGGTGGCCATCATGTGTAATAAACCCAAAGTGGTTCCGTCGCAGGGTCTTGCTAGCGTTCGGTTCCGTTAACTCCACTCCGTCGGGTCCCAACCGAGCAGACAGAATGAAACCCCTCAAGTGCGCCGCGCGCTGTTGTACGGGTCTTTGCAGTACGGACACAACCACAGGGTGGCGAAGTGAAACAAATGAATAAATATGTTATGCTGTGACTCATTTTTCAATGAATGAGACAATGCACATATAAATTCTGTTAGCTATGAATATGGGACAATTTTTTACATTTTATATATATATATAATATATATTATATATTATATATATATACAAATGTAACACAATTTAATTGCATATAAAATCATAATTCCTATTTCTTTACCTTATCTTTTTCAAGCAAATGACTTGCAACAAGAAATATTTTATTTATATTTATATTTCCTTAGTATATTCACAAGCAATGGAAATGTGGCTGAAATTCCAAAAATGCTTTTCTGTATTGGATTATGTAATTGTTGCCAGACGTGTACGATCATAATATAACTTACAAAATAAATAAATCTAACGAATAGTAACAGCCAAGAATAAAACAACTCGAGTCATCGTAAAATACGAGTCATCGTAATATAGGTTGCTACTTTACATGTATACTTATATCGTGTGACTTTCAAAACACAGAATGTAAATTTCAATACATGGCTTTATTTTCATATAATCCTGGGATCCGCGGAGCTTGGAGTCTCCCGTGGAGAAATTTTAATGTAATGAGCACCAGGGGAACAGGTCGTAACGCTTTGAAATCAAAATACGTTCCCACCGCGTTTGGATCTAGTCCAGCTTTAGAACAGAAACATCCATGGGTTTTCCCCATTGTTCTTTCGAATATCTAAAATCCTTTTTTTTTAAAAAAAAAAAAAAAAAAAAAAAACGACCGGGAATAACATAACAACGGGGCAATAACCATGTAGGCGGTCTGTTGCTCTTCTGGAAGATTTTAGAAAGTTCTTACGTTCCTGTGAGTCTTTCACGAGCCTCCTTGTGGTGAGTTTAATATTTGCAATACGTGTGCGTTGTTTTCTCGGTTGCACACTTTCCAATGTAAATTACAAAAAAAATAAACATTAATGATTAGGCATAAAGAGCACATACTTATTATTAAGTTTAGATATTTGTTTCAACTATCGGGAGTAACTTGCAATTGAAAATACATTTGATGCTGCCATATTGATTTTTGGATAATGGTATTTTTATACTGTGTCAAACTATAGTCACCGCAAATGATAAGGTATAACAAATAAAAATTAATAACACAAATGAGTTATAAAAGGCTTTATTTTAAAATGCGTTCCAGAATAGTTGCTTGTGAGGTGCAGAAACAAACTGTCTGAGGAGCTGAAGTGAACGAGACAAATAGTTCTTCAATAATAAATAAAAATATCTTTTAAATGACTGCCCTGGGCTTACAGACCAAATAAGGTCTACAACGAGCTGACCTTAAACTTGGTTGCTGTCTTAATATTCCCATAACATCCAGAGCCTCAGCCACTGAATGTCCTCTTCATACCCTTGGAAACGATTGAGCTCGTACACTCCCAGACGGCCGAGAATCTGGGAACAGACAGGACCATAGGAGGCTATTACCTGCCGTAGCCACGTCTCCTGACAAACAAAACCAAGCCTCTGATTTTAACAGCTACATCAGAGGTGTCAGACCCTTGCGCTGCCCATTCTCATCCGCTACACGTCACTCAGCTGAGAGTCAAACACAGCTTTGATAAATTTCCAGTCCCTCGCATCCCACAATCCTCTCCAGAGGTAGCATGAAGTATTGTGACAATGAAACTAGGAAACAAAAGTTTGCAGTTTTAGGTGCAAGATCATGTTCAGTTGTGGTATCTTTGTGGGGGGTATGTTTGTTAAGTCGTATAAACCGTTAAATAAATGTTTATTGTATGAACTAGTTAACCTATACTTACCTACTCCATAAGTAAACCAAGTTTCATCACTAACCTCCCTGTCTCAGAGATTCTGGGCGTTTGTTGCTAAGCAAATTATTGTACATTTAACTGCAATCATTTGCATTTGACTATTCTAACGTTTTAACTGTGTTTCTTCCATTTACACTTGAATTATGAATTTCATCATTTTATCATTTGCAAAAAGATAATGTTTATTTCATTATCTGTATTTTTGTTGTGTCCTTTGGATATATGTGCAGAATGCACATAAAACATATCAGTGTTACAGATATTTAACGAATACAGGGGGATTTATTCGTACGGTGAAGAGTTGAGTCAGATTTACGCGAAGACGGGATGATAATTGATCCTGCCTCCCGCAGACAAGTCGGCTGGCCCGCATGACACCAGCGAAGAGTCTCATTTTAACGTTGTCTGGCCTCGCGCCTCATACGTCACTTCCCGCTGAGCCCTGCGTGCGAGTTTCGAGCAAAGATGGCGGCCGCGCAGCTAACCGACGAGGAGCTTTTCTCAGAGTTAAAGCGCCTCGGTTTCATCCCAGGTCCGGTGACCGAGAACACTCGGCCCGTGTACCTGAAGAAGCTTAAGAAACTCCGTGAGGACCAGCAGCAGCGAGGAAGCAGGGCGAGCAAAGGGCGAAACAGCGGCACCACCACCACCACCAACAACAACAGCAGCAGCGGCGGCGGCAGCGCGGCGGGAGCTTCGGGATCCGGAGCCAGGCCGCCCGGCGGTGACGTCACGCACCTGGACGCCAACAAGAGCCCTGGCGGACGCCCGGCCCTGGGCGAAAAGCGCCACGGCGCGCCCGGTAAGGTCGTCCTGGGCTTCAGCTCCGACGAATCGGATGTCGAGATTAGCCAGAAGAAAAGAGGCCTGTACGGCAGCAGGAGGGAACGAGCGTCCGTGCTCCAGCATCAGCAGCCGGGGCCTAACGTAACACCGGCTGCTCGCAGGAGTAAAGGGCTCGGCGCGGGCAGCAGCTCCCCTCTCGGGCTGCTGGAGGAAAGGCGGAACATCATGGGGTCCCCTTGGTGGGGAGACCGGGCGAAACTGCACCCGCCCGGCGCGGAAGGAAGGGGTTACGCGGAGTCCGGCAACAGCGATTACCGGAACGATGTGGACAGAGAGAGTCGGACCGTGAACGGCAGCAGATCGCCGTTCACACCGAGCAGCGGCAAGTTTGCGGGGGGCTACTCCGATTCCGAGGAAGAGGACGACGAGGAGGAAGAGGAGGAGGACGCCTCCGAGGTCGGGAGGTACCGCGATCGCCGACTGAGCTCCAGGCGGAGTCACTCGAAATCGCCGCTGCCGCCGCCTTTCCATGAGGGAGCCAGAGGGGCGGAGAGCGACCGGGAGAAGGCGAGAGGCGGCGTAATTAGAGCAGATGACAAGCCCGGCACGGCTGGTCTAGACATAGGGGGAGACCGGGGGGAGGAGGAAGACGAGGCTAGGAAACGGGGCCAAGGGAGCAAGCTGGGGAGCGGATTCTTGAGGAACCGTAGCTTCCCGCTGCATGCGGATCTGGTCTCCGGCATCATGGGGGAGTTCGGCGGCAGCAGCAGCGGTCCCACCTCCTACAACAACAACCACGTCAACTGCGGGTCGGACGACGGCGTCGGGGGCTTCGGTGCCGGGCTGCGATCGCGGTACTCGGCGTACAGCAGCCTGCCAGCCACCTACCGACTCAACCACTCCAACCACGCAGCCCCGAACCACTCTTACGGCCAGACGAGCCGTAAGCCCAAGCTCCCGGTCCCGGAGGACGAGCTCCTGCAGCAGTTCAGGAGGGAGGAGGTGTCAGCCAGCGGCGGCTTCAGCGCGCATTACCTGTCTATGATCCTGCTCACGGCCGCCTGCCTGTTCTTCGTGCTGCTGGGCCTCATGTACTTGAGGATGCGGGGCTCTGGTGAAGCCGTTGTCGACGTTGTCAGTAAGTGTGACCCCCCCCCCCCCAACCGTGCTCAAAAATATGCGTATTGTCCTAATGTTTATCCAGGTTAAAAGGCATTGACTGTTTTTTTTTTTTTATGGAAATACCAACAATACTGTATTAATTCAGTTTGGGGGAATGGATGGTGTGAGTTAGTGTGGACGTTTTGTAAGGTGGTATAAGTAATATGTATATGTAAGTAGTACTATAGCAGGTTGTTGCTTGGGCCTGTAACCTGAAGGTGCTCAGATCCAGGCTTAGGTGTGGCCTTCCTCCTCTACAGTTGGGCATGAGATCCTGAATTGCTCCCCCAAAATGCAGTTATGCAACTGGGTGAAGCTGTAGACTGCTGAGCAACATAATTGTAATAACTACCATCCCTTTGTCTGTTGTAAATTCGCCTGCTTGAAAGCAGCCTATTGCAGCCTTCGGGGTGTCATGCTGTGGTCTGCTGGCGGGGGGCGATCTGCAGCCATCTGAGCTGTAGTTTCGGCGTTGCTGGAATTGAGGCTTTGTTACAGTGACTGGGGGCCTGAGCAAATGGCGTATAAAGATTTAAATGTTTCTATGCCTCTAAAGGGTGAGAGGAACTTTGAGGGGGCTTTGAAATGTTTAATGTAGTTTGTCACTTTAATTTGGGCATATTTGTGTTTTTGTGATCAGCTGCCTGCACATGAACCCTGCATGTGTGTATTCTGCCTGTAAACTATGCCATCCCTTATGGTTTCCAGTGCTGCTGTGCACTCTGGACTGTGGCATCTTGCTTCAGTTATTTTCGGTGCAGCTGCAGTGTGTGTGAAAATGTCCAGAATGATGGAGTAATACACCAACAAACTGGCCTTTTTAACTGATTCATCAACTGGTAAACATTAAGCTTAAAATGACTTATTTAAAGTAAGGCGTGCTGGGGGGCAGGGGGCTAGGGGGCTGGCGCCTGTGCAGGGCCCCTATAGACCTCCTTCCTTCCCCATGGCCTGGGAAGTGGAGAATGGGTGAACGTGTTTGGGGCTGAGAAATGGGAGCCGGGGCCAGACAGGCTGATATTTGCGTATCAGAGTAGGAAGGAAGCCCTTGGAGGCTGCCAGTAAAGTTATCACGCATTCCAGTGGCCCGTCTGCCCTTTAATACGTGACTCAGACTGACGGCGAGTGCCAGACTGTCGGGCTCGTAATGCGGAGGTTGGCTGGAGGAGACGCGGCAGCTCGCGGCCGGGTCATGTGACCCGCGGATCACAGCGCCGTTACTTACTTTCTCAAGGGCATTGTTTCCAAGAAGTGCCTCTTGTCCGGGTTTTTATGCTTCCAGGAGTTTGAATGCCCCTCCCCCCTTCCCTGTGTTAAAAACTGCAGCACAGATTGGATCAGTGAATCTGTGTCTAGAAGTAGAGGCATTATAGACTTATCAGGCTGAAGTTATGAAGGGGGCAGATTAGTTTGTATCTAGATAGGGGCATGGCTGGCTCAACCCTCACGTTTGGCACCATGTGGTGGCATGGACCGATGATATAGCGGTGAGTGTCTTCTTGTGGCCTCCCAAAGCCATTCTGGTGGCTCCCAAAACTGTGTGTGACACACTGAGCTCATGATGCGGTTGTCATTTGGTAGCCTTCAGTGCTAGGTCGCTACCATGGCGATGAGAAACGACCAGGTTGACCTGGAGATTCTGAATTGGGAAAATGGATAGACCTGTGTAGGAAGCTGCATCCTAGACGTTAGCTTGCTGCGTGTTCACTTGGGACAGAAAACAATCCCTGAAAACAAAAATGTGGTGATATACCCTGGCTGCCCCTGCATCATGGACAGCACTCGCCATGCCATAAGGGCTCCTGGGAGTGAGGGTACGCACCACAGTAAAGCTTGGGTTGGGCCGGGAAAAAAAAAGATTGAGGAAACAAGTAATGAAATCTGTCGCGTGCCTGAAATTCCCAAGAGCAGCTATGACTACATACCCCGGCGCAGACAAGCGGGTCACAGACCGGCTGCACTGTCTGCGTGTTTGGGATCGCAGGGTGATCAGGGAGAGGGGTGCAGTGTTCCGGTACTGGGGGCTCCTGCCTGACCGGTCCGCTGAGGTTTATGACGCTGTGGAGTGTGAAAGCCTTTAGACGCGCCAGTGTCCCCTGTGGGCGACAGACGGAGTCGTCATCTGCATGCTGCGGTGCTGGATGACGTCCAGCTGAAAGGGGGCACATCGTGTCCAGGCAGTGGCTCAAGGCTGAGACGTCGGTCTGTGGGTCCCGCTTTCCGCTGCCGGAGATGCAGTGTGAAGGACAGTGCAGTTGTGGTGACGCCCCCTGCCTGAGGCGCATCGTGTGGGGGGCTGTGCATGACGCATTCTCTTTACAGGACTAACGGCCCTGTGTGTTCTCTCTCTCTCTCTCTCTCTCTCTCTCTCTCTCTCTCTCTCTCTCTCTCACACACACACAGCAAAGAACCATCCATTTGGGAATGAGTTTGACAATTCTTATGTGAGTATCCCTGTCGTTGTTTAATTCCTCAGTAAAATTATATTTGTTTCGTTTTTTTTGTCAAATGATCATGATTTTCTCTGTGCATAGCGAAGTGAGAATTGCAGTGATGCATTTATGTTGTTTGTTAGTGTTGATTGAATTGTTGTCAGGTTACAGTGAGGTTTGTTCATACCACCGATTCTGTGAAGTGTACCCTCACCTCAGTCGTGTCGTACCACAGGCTGACGAGCAGAAAGATGTCATTCTCAAATTACTCCTTCATCTGCACGACCATCTGGCCAAGATTGCTGGTAATCTTAAAACGTCTTCAGTTCATGACCACACTGTACATTTCAAAGTTCAGTGTTGTTTCACCTCTGACCTCAGGTGAGATGCAGAGGAAGGCGAGTTGTCCTAACCTGGCCTCACTTGCTCTGCTGTTGAATTTCTGCAGGGGAGCACGACTGCGGAGACCACGTGCAGCATTCGAATAGGAACATCTCCTACACCGAGGCCTTCGAATATTTAATGGTAGGTTTACCGTTTGTACTGTACCTCACATACGCCTAAGCTGTCTCCTCCATTTCCCTACTCGCACAACTCCTGGCAGCCAACTGAGTATTTTTACGTATCTGGACCTGGAGCCTAACCAGTGGTTGTTTCTGTTTTTCTGTGACCTCCAGCTGCACAGTCCCGAATATGAGGACTTCTGGGACACAGCTATGGAGTGGCTGATCAGATCAGGAGAGGATGTGGGAATTCGGTAACTACTTGGTCAGATTGAGTAGCTCCAGTGTGTGTTTTTTAAGGCCAGGATGCTTGGTTATGTGGAGAAGCTCTCTTCCCTCTTACATCAAAGGTTGTGGGTTGAAATCCCAGGGAACACACACAAATTATAACCCTTTCCTTCTGCTTTAAGTTGACATTGATAAAAACGTCAGATAAATTAATAAAATGTAAATGTACGTCGAGGACTGTGATCCTGGAGCTCTCAGATTTACAGCCTTCGTTCTTTAGCCTTCCGTCTGTAGAGAGCTCTCTTGTTTTCATATACTGAAATGAATAGTCTGTAATAAAAGCTGTTAAAAACTTAACATGGCCTTGACTTTGTTTGATAGTGCTCAGTAGTGAGTGATTCCTGTGTGAGATTGCGTCCCCTCTTTAATAGTCACGGCCACATCGTGCTCTCTCCGGGTTGTCTCTCCCTCTCGGCTTTCCAGGCTGATCGGGAGCCACCCTGAGGAGTCTGTAACCAACGTTTCCCAGATCCTGTGTCTGGAGTCCACCCACCCCCGGATGTCCTTCATCTGCCGCTTCCGCCGGGCCTTCTTCACCGTCATCTACCGGCTGCTCCTCTTCGTCGCGGGTGAGCCTTGAAACTGGGGGGATCGCGAGATGCGGGCTATGGGGGGGGGGGAGTGAATTTATGTCCAAAGGATCTCAACTGCAAATAAACTGATTAATGAATATAGGTAGGGCTGCCACTAATTACTGTCTCTATAGATTAATATATTGACAATTTTATCGATTGGTCGATTAATCGAAATGATTAATTTTCCTCCAGAAAATCAACTTGACAGTTAAGTTTTATTTTGGCAAGAACAATCTGTATGCCATTGCAGGTCTTTAGATAATGTACGCCGGCTTTCCGGCACTGTTTGAATATTATTTTCGCCCTTAATTTGATAAGCAGATTAGTAGTATGCTTAAAACTATTGAGATACAAATTGAGATGCTGAAACGTTAGCAATCTGTATACATTTTGCATATCCTTATACTAATTAAATTCAGTTAGCAGAGCACGCCAAATGTGACATAAGCAATAAGCACTTAAGTTGTGATGAAGGTACGGGACAGACCAGAGGAGACAGAGAAAATACTGTGGGTAAACAAAGTAGAAAGATGTTTGCGTTGAGGCGGTGCTATATGCAGATTTTGGTTTCAGTTTTAGTTTGCGATAACAATACTGGTCCCAAGTCCCATGCGCATGAACTCCTACACAAACACCATCAATCAACATAGAATAAGGCCAGATTTTAGCCTAAACATTTTCACTAACACTTATTCATTGGAGATTCTAATGTAGCAGGCAAACAACTTTATGGCTTTAATAGTGAGTGTTTTTAGTAGCTACAAGGACAAAACATATTAAAAAGCTCTCCGTAGTGATGGTAATTTAATCAACATGAATAGACAATTGCTGATTTGCTGGTCTAGAATAGCGCCTGTTTTTTTTCCTCTTCTGGTGCTCATGCATAGCGCTAGTACTGCCGTGGTTTGCCATCGCACTGTGTACAGTGTACAACCACCTTTTTGTTTTGTGATAATTTTTGAACTGCTCCCATAATTACATAGTAATATTAAAGGAAAGCATTTGTTTTAATGAATTGAAGCGTTTCAGAAATCATAACGATAACTTTATTTATTTTCAGTGGCAACATCATCAATTATGTCAACAAATTGCGGCAGCTCTGCATATATGTACACAATACATGGGTGGAATTCATAGAAAAAGTCTGTTTGTTTAGTCAGAGTCTAAATGTTATTTATAGTATTTGCAGTGTTAGGCTCAGGTAATCCATACTCAAAGGGACACAAAATATAAATAAGGAATAAAGGATTAGGATGAAAATTAACTTGTATTTAAATATGACAGAAGATAACAACACTGTGTTTAAATGCAAATGTAAATTAGTGTCAGATGAACTGCAGGTAAAAATACATATAGCGCTGGTCCTCGGGCATCGGCGGACGCGTTCTAGCGCCGGTCCTCGGGCATCGGCGGACGCGGTCTAGCGCCGGTCCTCGGGCATCGACGGACTCGGTCTAGCGCCGGTCCTCGGGCATCGGCGGACGCGGTCTAGCGCCGGTCCTCGGGCATCGGCGGACGCGGTCTAGCGCCGGTCCTCGGGCATCGGCGGACTCGGTCTAGCGCCGGTCCTCGGGCATCGGCGGACGCGGTCTAGCGCCGGTCCTTGGGCACCGGTGGACGCGGTCTAGCAGTGATGACTCAAACGTTTGTAAGCAAGCTTCAGCTATCGACGTACGTTATTCTCCTCTTATTCATCCCTGGGGTGAACCAGTGCCCAGCCAGAAATCGGGCACAGCTGGTGAGGATGCATATAATTCGCACGTGTCATAAGCGGGTGTTGGGTTGATTGGCGAAGCCAGCAGGGCCTTCGCATGCTGCGAGCTGCCAGGGTGCCGCATGTCGCTGTGGCAGGGTCGGGGGATGACAAGTGATAGGGAAGGAATTTGTCTTGTTTTGGCTAAATGCCACAGTAAAGCAAGATTTGTTTGTCCTAATGAGTCATTTGTCTCTTTCGTATTTATATATATATATGAAAATGTGAGAAATTATTGCGTGTGCTTAGTGGATCCAACAGTAAAATGGCATTTCTGGATAATGTTGTATCACATTTGTATGAATTATTGGTGCCTGAAGTGATACGTTAGGTAATGATTATATTTATAGCTGAGGGGCTGGGAATTAACTTGGTAACACTGGATTACTGTCCTAATGACGGCAGTCATGCTGATCTCTCAATGGCCAAAAAAGTGAAAGAAGATGCAGAATTGTGTTTTATATTTAGATATACTGGGTGTTGTTTTTAAACGCCCCCCCCCTTCCATCAGGTGTGGGTGTCATGTGTGGCGTCCTCTATTATATGAAATACCGCTGGAGGAAAGAGGAGGAGGACACCAGGCAGATGTACGACATGGTGGAGAGGATCATAGGTGAGCCACCTCCTTACAGGAAGTCCTGGTTGGCACGTGACCAGTCAGCTGACTGCCTCCTTTCCCTGCTCCTTCTCTCCCGCCCAATCAGACGTGCTGAGGAGCCACAGTGAGGCATGTCTGGAGAACAAGGACCTGCAGCCGTACCTGCCCATCCCCCACGTGCGCGATTCCCTGATCCAGCCTCAGGACAGGTCTGCGTCGCCTAGTAACGCCCAGCAAGAGCTGCCGGTCTTTTTTATGGTGCCTTCACGTGGTTCGGATAAATTGTGCATCCGAACAGATGTCCTCTTTGTTCTGGGACTGCTCCAGGAAAAAAATGAAAAAAGTCTGGGAGCGGGCGGTGAAATTCCTGTCCACAAACGAATCCCGCATCCGAACGGAGACGCAGAGGATCAAAGGCGAGGACTTCCTGGTCTGGAGGTGGACCCAGCCTTCGCTGAGCTGCGACAAGATGTCTGCCATACCTCCCAAAGTGTGGCAGGGCAAAGGTCAGTGCAGGTTCTGCACCATGTTAGCAGGGATGCTTGCCGCCTCCCACGCTTCCATTTTCAAAGAGACAGAATAATAAAAGCAAAAGACTCTAGGAATTCTGGGTACGTGGAAGTAACTTCTCTCCCTCCTCCTCAAGCGTTTCCTCTCGACCGGAGAAACTCGCCGCCAAACAGCTTAACGCCATGTCTGAAGATCCGAAACATGTTTGACCCAGTGATGTAGGTGGCCTCTCCTTTCCTATGTCAGTGTGACGAATTACTGATTCTGATTGTTTGTGCTGTAGCGGTGCACTGCAGTGACAATTACTTGTTCGTAATAAGCTGCTTTGTCGCTCTTCTGGTTTTGGTTTTGGCCTGACGTTTGACTGGCCTATGGAGAAACACTGATCTACTTCAGATTTATAGTTTTTGAGGTGTTCTGACCCAGCACCTGACCTGGTCCTGATCTCTCCCCAGGGAGGTGGGTGAGAACTGGCACCTGGCCATCCAGGAAGCCATTTTGGAGAAGTGCAGCGACAACGACGGCATCGTCCACATCGCCGTCGACAAGAACTCTCGTGAGGTTAGTGGGCCCCCACCGCCGTCTCCGATCTGCCGGGAGCGCCGACCACCCCGCAGCCGCAGTAACCTCCCCCGCATTGCGTCCGCAGGGCTGCGTCTATGTGAAGTGTCTGTCCGCCGAGCATTCTGGGAAAGCCTTCAAAGCGCTGCATGGCTCCTGGTTTGACGGTGAGTTTCAGACAAGGAACAGGGTTTATTTTCTGCCTGCTTGTGGTTCTGGCTCGTCGAGATGCAGACGGGGGTTTGCACTGTGAGCTTGACGGAGAAGGAGAGGGAGGACGTCTTTGAGGACTGTCAGCTTTCCTGTGTGCTTGCAGCCAATTCGTTCCCAAACTCCTGAGCACCTGAGAGTTTTAGCATCTTATCATAAATCATGCATAAAACATTTGTTTTCATTTCAAACCCATCTCTGCTCTAGTCACATTGAGCGTCTGTTTCTGTGCGTAACATCAGTATGTGATATATCATACGTTGGCGTATGTAGCCTTTCTGTCTGACGGCCTCCTCCAGTAAACAAACTACGCAGAGGTGAGTCATTGGCTTTGATAGCGATGAGATCATCAGTCTGTCTCCTGCCTGCCGTTTTCCTCGCCGTGTGTCATGATGCCGTGACGTGTCCACAGGCAAGCTGGTGACAGTGAAGTACCTGCGACTGGACCGGTACCACCAGCGCTTCCCACAGGCCCTGGCCTGCAACACGCCGCTCAAGCCGTCCAGCAAGCTCATGAGCACCCTGTCGCACCTGCGACTCCGCTCCAGTCCGGCCGGCTCACCGGGCTTCTCCTGAGATGGGGGCAGGGCAGACAGCACCAAGACCTCCCACAGCTACTCCTTGGTCAGCAGGGGAGGGGGCACACCTTTCTGTTTTCCTTATTTTCTAATTACAGATTTTGTTTACGGATTAACGGCAAACTGAAAAGCTTCTGGCCCCGACATCATCTTGACAGCACGTCCGTAAGCGGAATCCCCGCCTCCTCTGCCCCCCCCTTAAAAAGTCGGTCACAGATCCTCCTTTTAAGTACGTTTAGTCGGCCTTTAAATCGAGTAGCTGCATGTGCAGGTTAAAGTATGCTTTGAGTCGTAACATTTTATTGTGGGTATTTATTTTCTACATACGTTTGAGGTGATGTAATCTCTTTTTGTAGTTTTTAGTCGGACGGCATGCACAAAGAACCAACACAGGGTGCTGTAAATAGGTGTATATGGGGGGGTGACGCAGCTTTCAGTTATCTGTGTAAAAAGCAAATCATAAGCTAACTTTTTTATAAATATATATATATAAAATGAAGTCGTATTGACTGCGTCAGCGACAGTGGGGCCCAACCTGTAGTGAACACGTGTGGGTAGGCGATGTGGTTAAGCTGTTTTCTCGTGAGAGTGAGTTTTGGACGGGGGCAGCGTGGTAGGGGTTGGTCACCAGGCCTCAGCCTGTGTTCCAACCTTAACTTCCTCACTTCCTATGGTAATGGGAGGGGGGGGGGGTCGTCTCCTGATTTCCTGCTCTCTGCTGGTGCTGCAACAAATCGCTACAGACAGCCCAGTCACCCTTTCGAATCAGTATTCCCTCTAAAAAAAAAAAATAATAAAAATTCACGTAGCTCGATGCCGTTAGTTTGTGGGCAGAGCTGACCTGCTAACCTTGCCCAGAGCATTTTTAGGGGCTGCAGGAGGTGTAGAGAGGGCCCTTGCCGGCTGTTCATGCTATTTCACACTACATTGGCCCTCGAGAAAGAAACGACGGTGTAGGATTGGTTCGATCAGGAGGAGGCTGGACTCTTGTGCCGGGACAGACGTCTGCACCTACAGTAGTTTTTAATAGTGGTGCTTGATACTCAACCATATTGACAGCAGATTGTCTGCCAGAGTTTAGACAGACAGACGGTTGTATGGTTTTTGTGCATTCCCCTTTCTTCTCCATGCAGAGACAGTGTGACAGAGTATTGCCAATAAGTTTTTTAAATGCAGGATGGGTTGTGTATTCGTTGGATAAGCTCCGGGGCGGCGGACTGCGGCTTCATTTTTAAACTGGTCCCAGGTCAGTATTCGCAGCACAAAGTCGTATATAAAACGCAGGGACGCTTGAGATGACAGTGACCTGATGCACACTCCTTGCCCAGATGACCTAACTGTGCCTTAGCTTTGTGATTTTCCTTTTAAATAAAATGCTTTTTCTTTCTGCCTCTGCATTTCTCGAGAATGTACTTGGTTTTATAAAGTGTAGGAATGGTATACACTTTTATTCAATTGAACAGAGCTGATGTTATGTAAAAATAATGAAATTCAAGCCAGGAGTTTGCTGTACTTGTGTGCATCATGGTGATGTTTATATTTTTGTATGTTTCAGCCTGACTTTGGTGCACATATATTTTTTTTAATTTTATTATTGACCTGTTGCCAGGACAAACGTAACATTTGGCGTTAACTCTCCCGGGGGTTGGTGCTCGATTCAGCTGCATCCTTGCGTTTTTTTTTTTCCTGATGTATTTTATGTAAACACTGTACATTTATAAAATTGTAATATGAACTATTATGCAGCTTATTTTCCATTACAGAATACTGTTTAAGTTGACCAATGTTCCTGCCTACAAGCCGGAAGGGAAGGTGTACAGTCTCCAGGCATTTAAGATCTGCAGGTGTTTTAATGTAATTTGTCACTTGTCTTGTAAAAATTCGAATTAAAGGTTTATTAGGGGTTTCTAATCGTGAGTCGGCTGCTTAAATGTTTTCCCACGGAGGTATTCTTCGTTTCTTCGTCTGCATATGCAGTAGGATTTGAATAAATGGGTGGAATCGGATAAATCGGTATTAGACGAAGACAACGGAGCCGAAATATATAACACGTTTACTTACAAAATGAGACTAGCTCCAACACAAAAATACCGACTTCAGAGGTCTCTGCAAACTAACTCCGGTGACATCTATGGGGCTTTGGAAAACGAAGTGAAGTCAGGGTTGATCCTGAAAATCCAATTCTCGACCGGGTATGGACATTAATACAACTACCAGTCCCAATGCTTTTCAATGCGTAAAATAATGCAGCGATTCTCTCAGCTGCCTGCGTTAGAACAGCGCACCTGTACATAGTTCCCACTAAGGGAAAACCGCAGTGCCTTATCTTCGGGCTGTCGCTGGAGTTTACCCGGGGTACCCGAGCCAGTGACTTCTCCTGGACTGTCTCTTCGCACTGTTAGCCGGAGGCTTCGCCGGTTTGGCCTGATGTCACACAGCGCTGTACACTTGCTCATATTTGGCGATGGCTGCGGCCCTGGAATTTCCCACAATGCCGTAGCGGCGGAGCCCGGAGCGGCGCAGGACGGCGCCGCGCTTCGCATTACGCTGACGGGCAGCGGGTGAGCCGCGCGCGCGTCGCTCCATCTCGGTTCTGCGCTGCTCTGCTGTCGCTGTTGCTGTCACTGCCACACTGCGCAGGTAGGTCCGCCGCTCTTTATTAATTTTTTTTTTTTTTCTTTCCTTTCCTCCCGTTTTTTAAGCCAGCACTTGAGGGCATTTGAAGAGCTTTCTTTCTAGAGCTTTTTCATTGAAGGTTCTCTCCAAGGCTACTTTTCTTTTTTTCTCTCCAAATGTCACTGTACTTACAACAGCGTCCTTTGTCACTGGGCTGCCGGGCTGGCAAAACAATAAAGGAGCTTTCTGTCCGGCCGCCCGGAATGGCGACAGTTTCAATTTTTATTCTAAGTGCTATACCCATCCGTCATTACTCATACAGTAATATCACAACATTATTATTAACCGCCTATATATGCGTTTCGTCTTAATGTATTGCCTTGTTGCAATTCATCAGCCAGTGTTAAAAGTGTAATTTGTTAGCGAGATACTTGTTACCAAATATAGTAACGCTGACTAAAATGAGGGCGCAGGGTTTATGGCAGCTACAAGACATCAATTGCTAGTCCGGTCAATTTGTGCGATGTTTCTGTCCCTTTAAAGTACACTATGCTTGGTGTCGGGGTTGCGCTCCACATAAATAATACAGCAACCCTATTGACGTAGTTTGAATAAAATATCTGTATAGACGTCTGATGTTGAATCACAACACTGACAACAATAACATGACGATTATTGTTTTTTTTCCCCACGAGAAACACAATTGCGCATAAAATAAGGCGGACTGTGACGTTTATATCACACTACTGTTCCCACCCTGTTTAATTTATGGTGGGTTTAAATGTCAAAAACGAGCCCCTAGTGAATTGCCAAGTGGGAATAATCAAGCAGCCTTGTAACTTACTTTTTTTGTTTCTTGGTTGCCTTTCAGTATTTTACGTTCTCTCTTTGCAAACTAGTAGGTCGTGGCGTTATTAGTTCCATTAGTGTAACGCAGACGCGTGTGTTATATTTATATTTATTTATAGGTGCACCAACGTTATAATACTTGAAAATAGTTTATTTTTAAGCAGTGTCTGAACTCTGGCATCGTTACGGCGGGGGGGGGGGGCTGCTCTGCGCCGGCCATTTGCCGGCATAGCGAGCCTAACACCTATTCATGGCGAGCTCCTGAAGCCCCATTTTCGCTGATGGCGGTAATATTTGCATGTCTGGCACCGAGGCAGCTCCGCAGGACCAGGACAGCGCCTTCTGAGGCTCTTGCACTGTGGTGTGACCCCATGACTCATCTGCGAGGCTGCAGTCTTTTCTGGTTTGTTGTCCTGCTCAAACTTTGAGGCTCTTTTCTACCACAATGCTAAATAAGGCTTTATTGAAACTGGGGAAGCTGGGCTTGATTCCCCCCAGTGGCTCAGTCAGAAATGTTGAACTTTTTTTGGGCTTCAAACAATGAAATGCTCAAGAACAGGCTGTGGTTTTACTCTGCTTCTTTATTAACCAGGGTATGGAGTTGCCACTTTGGATCAGGAATATGACTTTTGCCCCTTGATATTTCTTTGTTCGGACAGATTCCGAACATGTGTCTGCCTCTTGCTGGAATGCGTTCCTGTAGCAGTGGCCCCTTCAGGTTGTAGTGGAGCCATTTCGATGTTTCGCTCATCCCTGTCTGCGGTCCTTCTTTTTTGTGAGCTCTGATGTATCTTCTCAGAATTACATCGGACCATTGGGTCAGACTTAATGTGTGTTTAACAGTGCTTGTGGTAGATGGTTTGACAGTTGAAGTTTGTCCACAGTTGAATAGTAGTTGAATAGTGGCATTTTGATAGATGGTATGACAGGGGGTGCCACACTGGCTCAGTCAGCAGTGCTTTAAGAGCTCGTAGAATTCCTGCAGGAATTCAGGGTCTCTCATGCAGTCTAAAGACAGGTGTGTGACCCGCGTGCCCACTGAGGGACTGGTGACCCACGTACCTAGTGAGGGACTGGTGACCCACGTACCTAGTGAGGGACTGGTGACCCACGTACCTAGTGAGGGACTGGTGACCCGCGCGCCCAC